CACACACACACACACACACACACACACACACACACAGTTTGTTATGAACTAATGTGTCTGTTGTTGTAACTTCCTGTCGTCAGTACAAGAAACAACAAACTCTTCTGCACAAAGTCAACGGAGTCTTGATGCTCGTCTCCTTCTTCAGCTGCCGGGTTTTACTCTTCCCCTACATGTACTACACCTACAGCAGGTAACGAACAGGCTCCTGCTCCTCCTCCTCCTGATGCTCCTCCTCCTCCTCCTCCTGATGCTCCTCCTCCTCCTCCTCCTCCTCCTCCTGTGTGTCTGTGTGTGTGTGTGTGTATGTATGTGTGTGTCTGTGTCTGTCTTTATTTCAGAGTCACTGATGTTAAATCAACATCTTGTTTCTCTCGTCTGAATAAATGAAGTAAATCATTTTTATATTTCAAATTTTTTGCACCAAAGAAAAACAGATTATTTTAACTTGTCATGAAATAATAACAAGATAAAATGGAAAATATAATTAGTCATTAGATGAATATAATTCGAGCAGGTGGTTTTTAATGTGAAGGCGTCAGTTTGTTTGGTTTATTTTTCAGGTACGCTTCCATCCCTGTGTACTCGGTGCCCCTTGTGGCCCCGTGGCAGTGTAACCTGGGAGCCGCTCTGCTGTGGCCCCTGCAGCTCTACTGGTTTGCTCTGATCTGCAGAGGGGCCCTCCGCCTGTTCACCCGACGCTCAAACACTCCGCCCAAGACTTTGTTACTCGCTGGAGGCGGAGACAGAAACTGTGCTGAAGCGACTGCAGCGACATGACGCCAAATAAATGAACCCAGTGTGAACCAGAATGACGGAGCTCAGAGGAAACAGAGAGACACTGAGTTCCAGTCAGTGAGAGAGACAGGAAGCAGCAGGGGGAGGGGTCAGAGGTCAAATAAAGATGGCCGACATGATGGCTCCTGAAAGTGAAGCCAAAACATATGGATCGCCCCCTGGTGTCAGTTTGGTTTCAATTCGTTATTGATGATATGAAAACTGGCTGAGACGTCATGATTGACAGCTGACACTGACTCCTGATTGGTTGGTCAGGTGTGGGGGG